GTCTTTCCAGGAGATGTGCCTCTAGGCTTGGCAGAATATGGATATGGAGAGTCCCAGTAGTCACTGCCAAAATGCTAGCTCAGATCTTTTCTGCTCCCTCAGCTGGACCTTCTTCGGGGAATTAGGGAGAAATGTGTAATTGACAGTTGAAAGAAGCTGTGCAGAGGGAAGGGACATAGATGCTGACTGTGGATGGTAAGAAGGGCATGCAGTGACAGGCACTTCCCTCTCTCAGTACTTAGCTCAGTAGGAAGAGCCCTAAACATTGAGCAAGTACTCCCAGGTCTTTATTCCTTTTGCTGAGTGTTACTTTAGTCAGAAAGATTGAAGGAGAATCAGGATGAGAATAAGGAAGAGCCAGGGGTAGTTCAGAAAGCTAAATGGAGGCTCTGGGAGATGATCCAGAAGACCGAGGGAGGGCGAGGAAAGGGACGCCCTGTCATTTGCTGTCTCACATTTCTGACTCTTGTCGCCCCTCCTCACAGGTTCCTCCATCCCCATGCTTGTACAAGCCACGAACTCATTCTTGAAATTGTCTGTGGATCCTGCTATCTTGGACTTCTGAGGATGCCACCAGGAAGAAGGGCTCTTCCTGGCCCCAGCCAGGTCCCTCACATTCTCCTCTGCTGTGATTTTATTTTAAATTCTCTTTGATCTTTCTTTCCATAACAGTAAAGGATGCTTCCAGTTTCGTGTCCACCTATTCCAGGTCCCCCTGTATCTGACCTTCTTTTACCATTATTTCCTGCACGAGAAGTTATTGTGATCTGGGAACCTGTTTTCTTTATGTAACAATACATTAATACACAGAATGTTACTTCCAGTTTTTCTGAAGTAATTACAATAAAATATGTGACACAGACTCTGGAGTAAGCACTGCAGCATTGATCCGGGGAAATACCCAATTTAGAGAATAATCTACCTCATCATTATCCACGTGCAACTGATCTTCTATAATTAAATATTTGTCTTATATGATTGTCAATGCTATTGCAGTAAGTTTTGAAGTTTTCTGTTAATTGGAGCAGTAGCTGGATGAAAGTTGAAAATGAAGATAGTGGTAAATGTAAGTTCAATGGAACAAAGAGATCTTCTAAGTTTGTTCTATGTACTTGTCAGTACTATTAAGGATATGCAAGAATTATTCTGTTGGTTTCTTATTATTATTCATCATGTTATTATTTCCATTGCCTAAGTGCCTTGGGTTTAATTTGGAGTTGTTGGAAATAAGTGTTTTTTCTTTCTTTTTTTTTTTTTTTTTTTTTTTTTTTTTTTAAAAAAGGTCTTCCTTTAGCTCCCACTGGCCTAGAACTTGGAACTCATGGTGTAGACCAGGCTGATCTAGATCTCACAGAGATCCTCCTGCCTCTGCCTCCCAAGTGCTGGTATTAAAGGTGTGCACCACCACACCCAGCACTAAATGTTTCTTCTTAAACATTAAGCAAACACCCTGTGAGGTGGCTGTGTGAAACCTCAGAGCAAGCGTGAGCCATGAGATTCATAGCCAGGCACAACATGAGTATTTTAAAAGAGCAAAGAGGGTAAGTGGTGATTATGTTACTAAAGTTTTGTATGTAACTGACAAAATACCTTAGGAAATTAAGATAAAAAAATTATTGGGCCGTGGCGATTGACCCAGTGGGTAAACTGCTGGTTGTAAAAGCATGAGGATCCCAGTTTGGGTTGCCAGCATCCGCCTAATAAACCAGGTATGTTGGGCCCTTTCTATAATCCCAGCACTGGCAGGCAGAGACAATAGGATCCCAGGAGCTCACTGTTCAGCCTGTCTAGCCAAGCTCAGTGCAAAACCTTTCTCTAAAATAAGGTGTAAAGCAATAGAGAAAGATATCTATTCTCTTGAGAGAAATGATCTACCACAGCTGTGAGCTCAGTAGTGAATTTTTGAAGATTGTAACTAGTGAAAATAAAAGAACAGTTAACCATCAGGTAGGCAGAGGCAAAGACTCATCAAATGGGGTGCTAAGAGCATCCAGGAGACAGAACAGGTGAGGAAAGCCTTTTTGAGGCAGCCAATTGGAGTTCCTGATTGGAATAACCTTCGGAAGAGCTCCTTTGAAATGGATGGGCTCCCAAGCTCTCGTTCCCACTGAAGGTACTTATATGCCATGGGATTATAATAGTGACCTTGTCAAAGGCTTTGACCTTTCAGCTGATCACAAGTGCTCATTGTTTTCATACTCTTAGCTCTTTGCTGTTCCTGCCTCTTGTCACAGCTTCAGGGGGTCAGCTTGTCCTTAGATAAGGAGTCTTGAAGGACACTTGAGATAAACAAGTAGGATCCATCTTGTTTACAGAGACTGCTCTCAACAAGAGTAAACATCATAACAGTTTGCCAAGATAGTTTATATTACAATACCGAGGATGGATGCTCAACCCTGGCATCCATGCATGCATTCATGAGCACATGCCCCACCTCCCATGTGAACAAACACATACACATAGTGACTAAGAAGGACGAGGAGTCAGAGAGATACCTGCCTGGTAAACAGGCATGAGAGGCTTTAGGTAGATTATTGTACTTCTCAGTTAAACATTTAAAATGATGGGCTTCCTTATTCTTTTCCCCCTCTAAGACAAAAACTTAGGTATTTTCTCCCCAGGAGGGAACTGTTGGGTGGGACTTTCAAACCCCCTGTCAGGGTAGTTTCCTATAGTAGGAACCAGTTAGCTTCCCTTTCTTTGTCTGGATTATCTAGCACCTCGCCAAATCCAAACCAGCCAATTCTAAGGGAAAAAGTGAACCTACCTTATCCCCAACCATATAAAAGTTTTGGTAGTGTCACAAGACTCATATTCTGGTTTCATATCTCTCTCCCCTGGGGGAATCTCTTCATATACTTTACTATGAATGCTTCTACTTTAAGTGAAATCTGGTTGAATGCTGATACCTTGCTTTTTCTGTCCATTTATTCTTTAAATCAAGAAGAAAAAGAATCAATTCCTGAAATCTTAGATGTTCTCACACTGAAGGCATCAGTATCACACACACTCAAAGGCACACACATACAAAGGCACACACACACACACACACTCATACACACGCAAAGAGGAAGGACATTTTCAGTGCTTCATTCATAGGTTTTAAACTGTTATAGGTGTGAATCAGATTCTGGGTACACCTACTAAGAATTCTAGGTTCCTGAGTCCCAGAGTAATGAACTAGACCAGGTATATATAGATTTTGATCAAAATAAGGGAGTTTATTAAGAAAAAGAGGGGTGAAAGGTATTTGAGAGGGTGGATGTGGGCTAGTGAGCTGGAAAAAAGGCAGATTCTCAAAATGTCCAGGTCACACCTGAGTTCTGAAAATTTATGTTGTTTACACAGCACTAGCCTTCTCCCAGGCATTCTGTGTCCCTCAAGATCAGCCTTGGTTTCTTTCTGGCAACTTGTTTCTTTAATCTACAAATCTTGATGCCCTTTTTCTTATACCCAGTATCATGCCACAACTCTCTGCTGAGAGCTATGGCACAAAAAATGTTTTGGCAGAATTAAAGAAGAATAATCAATCCTTTATAATTTCTTACATGTTGATGAGGAGCATTGTTCCTGGCCTAAGAAGAACCATAAAACTTTCTCTCTAGTCCACCTGCTGATAAGAGAGGAGGCTTTGGTTTTCATGTAGTAGAACTTGGCTGGAATCTTTGTATCACAAGGAACTTTGTTTGAAATAGTCACATGTCATAAAGACAAATTTTTCAAGTATTAAAAATATAAGATGTAAGTAAAATAACTTGATTATGCCATTTAATGATCCCCCCAAAGAACGAAAGTAATGGCCATGTTTGTCATAGGACATTCATCTTTGGATGTGATCTCTTGGACTGTTAAAAACATAATGATGATTTTATACAAGCTATAAGTAACCATAGATTAGTTCCCTCAGCTTTTATCAGAGAAGCTTCCTTTTGCAGTGATTTCTAATGTATGTGAACTTAATTCCATTGTATGTACTATCAACAGTTATTATTTCTCTTTTAAATATTTTCCCATTTTATTCATGGGACTCATAAATTCATTACAATTTAATTCACATTTTCTTGAACCTCATTCACTCCTCTTTTTATTTTACACAAAATTTGTATGAATTTTTGGAGAATTTCATACAATGCAATTTGAATATTTTCAGACCTCCTCCCCCATCTCCATTCAGATACACCTCCACCATTTTACCCACCCCTCACTTTATATCCTCTAAGTTTTTAAATTATTTATTTAATAACCACATAATCAGAATAAGCATTTCATTACGACAGCATTGACATATTCAAAAACAATTTCCAGAGCTAATATACATCTCAAAATTTGCAATTTTTTAGGTTTACAGTTGAGTTAATAGAGTTATATAATATTGTACTCAGTATAAAACCTATAAGACATAAAATTGAATGAGGTTTTAAGCTTTAAAAAGATCTCCATTTCATTATTAAGATATACTGTTTCATACAGGAAAAACTCATTTTTAATGCAACTAACACTTAGGTGTTTGCACATGCGCCTCTAATCTCTATATATCTGATTATTATGAGTCACAGTCATTATATTGTGATCCTTCGCACCTGAGCATGGATATAGGGTGATCAGATAGATTTCAGTGGTAATGATTTTCACATCTTCTAGTTAACATAAAGCAAATTTTTATGTTTCTTCCTCAAATATAACTCATTTTTTAATTTATTGCTTTTTTGTGTGTATTTCATACAGAACATCCCAAACAATCTTATTCATCTATATACACACATCCCAAGTGACTTCCTCCCATGTCCTCCTCCTCCCCACCCCCAGGCTGGACCCCATATACTCTGTCATCCCTGTTACTATCCACTGTGTTGTCAGTGCCTACAGCGGCTCCCCAGTGTTTGTCCATCTGCTGAGTCTAGTCAAGCTTATCAATAGTTCCTTGTTATAGGAAGATAAGCACTTCCACATCTCACAGCAAGCTGTTGCCAATTTTCCTTTAGATAAGATTGGGGTCTGCTGTTCATTTTCCCAATTCTATGCTGGATTATTGTCTGGGAGTGTCTTGGGCCACCCTGGCCAACAACTCAGAAGAAGGTATCTCCTTTCTGGCAATGTTGTTTGTTATGTAGCTTTTAGCTATACACATGGACTCTTAAAGAATTATATTGATCCCTTTAATCTTTGGTTATACTTTCCTTTGGGTGTTTAAGACCATACAGATATCCTAGAAAAACCAATTTATTTTCACTCTTAAGGTCATTTGAGGATCTGTTCCTCAGGGGTTCCTCAGGCATTACAGGGGTTACAGGAGGAACCCCTGGCTCATTTCCTCTACAAGTTCCATCTATGTGAAGATAAGTCAAAGGTCCTGTCCAACTGTGGATGATGTCACTTGGAAGCTGGAAGAAATGATTCCTCTGTGATGACCCTCCTCTTTGTAGCCTAGACAGTGGTTCAAGTCCATTTGGTGGGGTCTCCATGGCCTCCTTGATCAAGAGGACAGGTGACTCACCACAGTTACATGACATTTTGAGAGATGCTCCATAGTCAACTGGAACTTAGTCGACCTTGGAGGGCAAGGAGCAA